GAAGACTGAGGAATTTAGAAGTCCTGACATAACCGTGTAAGGAAAAAAAAAAAGTCAGCTTCAGATTTTATCTACCCATGGATACAAATCCTTCAGGCCTGACTGCTGGGAACCTCACAGTCATAATAACAATCTAGAATCCAGCCTAATAGAGAAATTCACATTTCATTTCTTCCAAGCTTGTGTTCCAAAGAAGGCCATTGCAAGCCAACCATTAGGAAACATTGACGAAACCATCTGATGTGCAAGCAAGCTTCCTGTGCTAGTTTATGCTTGTAATCAGCCATTCCAAATTCAAATCTGCTGAGCTTTTGTTGTTGTGTTATCAATTGCATTTAAAGGTGATTAGGAGCTGATTTCATTGTTCAGGATGACCCCTTTCTGTGGTTTAGCAGGACAGAAACATTCAAATGTGTCGGTCTTGAAAAATTGTCAATCATTAATGTTATCTATTGGTTTCAACTGGCTAAAGTGGACTGGAAGTAATAATATTGCAGACAGCAAGACAGTTCCCAAAACTTAAGTTTAGAGGCAACTTTTAAATGAGGGTCTTTTCCCAATGTAAGCATTTCAAGGATAAAAACTTGTATGTGCAACTAAATATTTGCCACCAATGTTTTGCCCCATGAAGTTAGGAAATAGAAATGGGCCTTGCACAGAGGTCCCATCTTAACTTTTCTTTAGAATTATATTTATCTGAATCGCATTCATCTTAACCCCAACCCCCCCCTCCAAAAGACTCAAAAAGGGATTTCAGGGCACCTGTTTAGATTTTCATTTGCATCAAAGCAAGGGAGTAAGTTCAAAATCACCCCAGATTAAAACAATTCCTGAAAACTGTTATATCAAGAGAAGCAGAGATCCCAGGACATTTAAATCCCAGTCATTTTCTCCATTCTTAAAGAATGATCTCATCTGCAAGCAACGTTAGAGAAGAAGAAAAAGCTGACAAAATGTGTCCCAATTAGAGACGCGTTTTGGTGAGACGGCTGCTGCCTTAGGCGGTTGATTTTTTTTGGGTGCCAGTCAATGCAAAAAATTGAATAATCATTTTATGGGGAAAAAAATCTCTCATGCAAATGGTTGTGCTCTGATGTTCCCTTACCCAACATTCCATTCTGTACCTGCTTATCCTGCCTAGAGTTGTCTAGTTGATTGTGCTCCAGTTTTGTAGGTGGGAAAATGCCACTTGGATCTCCTGCCTGAGGTCCTGAAGGTCTTGAGATGCCTTTGAAAATGATCAAAAGGAATTGGCTAAGGCCTGGCCTGGAGCCCGCTAGATGGGTCAGGATTACATCCCCCAGAATCCACAACTTGGTAGGGTCAACTAATACACCTGGAAGGCAAGGTGGAGCTGGGCTGTATTGAGAAGTGATCTTGGAGCTGACCAGAAATTGAATGACCCCAAGTTGACTGTCTAGCCCAGATAGTCTTTCTCTCTGCCCTTCACCCAAGAGAGATTGGTTATCCCTTTAGCAAACCCCCACCCCCCACCCCACATTTACAACTTTCTTATTGCAATGAGTGAACTTGAAAAGACTATCTAACCATGAAAGAAAGAAACCTAAGAAATATTTTCATATCAAAGGGCCTCCTAATTCCCCATTGCTGACGAATTTATCATCAACTTGGTGGCTTAATTATTGTGAAGGGGCCTATAGCCAGTCACTAATGAATTGTCAGGGTCTACAAAATATTATCTACATCCTTTGATGGCTGGAAATATATTTTTTCCCCTTTGTCTGTAAATACCAGGGTTTTCAGCAAGTGGAAGGGGTGGTCTCTCCTCCCCCCACCCCCCAAATCTGGTGCCTTACAATAGATATGGAGCAAATTGACTGGGGATGAAATAAACTGTAGTTTAAAGTTCATATTGTTGGCAGCACATCAGAATGAAGAAAACTCTAGATGGGAAAAAAAATAGTTTTGCTGATTTGTATAGGGCAGCAAATTGGAATCAGGGTTACAACACTGCTTATTTTCCTCCCTGGGATGCTAAGTAAAACTTTGTTATACAGAAGGAAAATTCCAACCCTAATAACTGTGACTTGTATGAAGAATATTAAATCACAAATTAGCCAGAACAGTCCTTCAGCTTGGCCTCACCACCTTAACCATTTTGTAAAAAAATCAATTTAAAAACGATTTCTCAGTTTCCTCCTCCACTTCTAACTCTCTTGAATGCCACAGATATCAGCACTTAGAGAGATCATCTTCTATTCCCTCTCCCAGGATGTCTTAAAGCTATCCTGCATGCATAGTCTCTCTGTCTCTGTGTGTATACACGTACACACACACATACACATAGACAATGCATGCAAGATAGCATATATATGAAGGATTGCAACATTAGAGACCCCATCTGAGGAGATAAATTCATGATTGACCCTCAAAGTCCTATCAAGGTAGTCCTTGATTTACAACCATTCGTTTAGTGACCGTTGAAAGTTACAGCAGCATGTTGTGGCCCATCAGTGGCCTGTGCAGCTAGTAGCTGATTCTGACAGCGAGGAGGCTGGTATGGTGCTGCACCAGCAGCCTGTGCAGCTGGCACTTGAGTCGGACAATGAGGAGGCTGGAGAAGATGTGGTGCCAGAGGCAGGGATTCAGCCAGGGCCTTCAGAACCTCAAGAAGCTCCCATAAGTGAAGAGGAAGAAGAGGAGGAGCTTCTTCTCGATGCACGGGAGCGCAGAGCTGCCAAAAGGCAGGAGTGGCTCCTCAGGAGGAGGTCTCCTCAAGAGTAAGGCTTAGGGCTAATTGGCCACTCCCTTAGCCTATTTAAGGAAGGACAACGACTGAGGCAATTTGCAGGGAACAACTTCGTTCACTCTCCTTCGTGCCTTGATCTTAGTTCTCTGCAAATTGCTTCTGGGCTTTCTGCCAACCATAGTAAGATGACGATTATTTATCCTTTGGATTCTTGTAGGCTGTTAAGAAAGTTAATTAACAGCCTTTGTTTGAAAAAGACTGATTTAATTTAGTAAACTAAGGTTTGTACAGACTTTGTGTGTGCTGCGTTCTTTGGGGTCCGTAGCTGGGGCAGAACACAGCACTGAAACAAGTGACCATTTTTTCACCCTTATAACTGTGGCGGCATCTCCATGGTCACGTGGTCAAAATTCGGACACTTGGCAACAGAACGTATTTATGATGGTTGCAGTGTCCCGGGGTCACACTTTTTGTGACCTTCCAGTAAGCAAAGTCAATGGGGATAAGCGAGATTTATTTAACGACGCCATTACGAACTTAACAACTGCAGTGATCCACTTAACAACTGTGGCAAGAAAGGTCATAAAATGAGGCAAAACCCGCTTAACCAATGTCTTGCTTAGCCATGGAAATTTGGCGGTCGATTGTGGTCATTCAGTCGAGGACTACACTTGTATTTTGGGCAAACCAAGAAATGGATCAGCTGCCCTCAAAAAACGAGAATCTTGATAAGTGCAAATCTGTACCTGTAACTAATATTTAGGTGGTGACCTCAGTTTTCCGCTGACTTGAATTGTGTATGCTAGGCACCGCAAGATAAACACAGAATATTGTCCCTGTTAAAGCCCTTGTTGTATTTTCCAGTTAGTCAGAGGACTCCATTCACAATAATGGAGTCAGGTTTATCATGGAGTATGTCACAAAGAGGAAAATTATGTTGTTTGTTGCTTGTATCCTTACGATTTATATTGATTGTTTCCTAATATGATTTGATTGCTTATTTGTGCCCATGACTATCATTAAATGTTGTACCATATGATTCTTGATGAGCCTTTTCTTTTATGTACACTGAGAGCATATACACCAAAACAAATTCTTTGTGTGTCCAATCACACTTGGCCAATAAAGAATTCTATTCTATTCTATTCTATTCTATTCTATTCTATTCTATTCTATTCTATTCTATTCTATTCTATTCTATTCTACTCTACTCTTTATGTTTTTATAGAAAAGTTTAGTGTTTTAAAGTGGATTAAAAAAAGGTATTTTTCCCTTTAAGGTTAAAGAATCTGAAAAAATACAGTGAGTTTTGTTAATATAAATGGTGATAGTTTATAAAGATTATTAAGTGCAAATAGAAATACATATTTCCACAGCAAGGAAGATAAAGCAGAAATCGTTAAATTGATTGTTTTATTCAAAGAGGAGAATATATTTAATTATGTTTTTTTATTTGGATATCACTTCTGGATTTTGTGCTTGTGATGAAAAAAAATGAAACTTTGACTTTGGTTTTGCTGATTAGATTTGTTGTTACAGAAATGGCTAGTTACAGTATATATTAATATGTAAAAGTAAAAAGTTGATGCTGGAATGTTATCTTGTACTGTGCTAAAAAGAGTTCGAAGTCAACAGCTTTTTTTCTCTCTTTCCTTGAACTTCATATTTTTTCCCCTCTCTCCTTTTCCTTCCCTTAATTTCCTATTTTTGTTTTTCTTTGAATTTTATATATTGATAAAACAATAAAAGTCATGAAATGAGAAAGTCTCCTCGCCCTAGCCAAGCCATTCTCTATGCCAACTCTCTTGGTTTTATCTTTCCTGAGACTTTTTCCATCTTAAATCCTCCATTTATTGTTCCTTTAGATCCTGTCATCTCACTGATCTTTAAAGGAATTAAAAAGAATGTTGGTGATTTTGTTTAGTTCTGGAAGTTCCATTGTTGCTTACTCTTTTCTTTAAGATTTTAGGGTGTTATTTTTTAAATTCATTCAGATTCTCAATTTGAACTGGAGAAGGTGACCAGATCTGACTGACTTTGTGGGACACCAGCCATGGCTTGGTTGGCCAACTGAATGAAACCTCTGCCATTCCTTTGGAGTTTTTACTTACATCTCAGCTATTAAAAACATTCATGAGGGGTCTTCGAATGTGCTCGTGATTGTTCTTTTCATTTCTTACAACCATTCCATTACAAGGCTACGTCTCCATTCCCATCAGAAGAACCAGAGAGAAGATTGAGTGTTGGTACTTCAGAACGGATTTCTCAATAAACACCCATCTCACCTTAATACAGTCCAATGTTTTTTTATTAGCAGCATTTAAGCGTGTAGACCAGTGGCACGAATCCTAAATGATCAGAATGGGTCTCTTTGGAGCCACAGGGATATTAAAAGCAGAAGGGAGTTAAAATGCAGTTAGGAAAATAGAGTGGGTGAATTAAGAAGTCTTAGAACATGATTGTGATTATCCTTCCCTGGAGTAAAACTTTTAGGGTGCTTTGGTTTGTTTTCCCTTCTTCCGGCCTTGTGCTGGAGCCTCCTTTGTCTAGGGGAAGAAAAGACAAGACGTGAACACCGAGCCAGGCCAGGCAACTTCCTCCCCCCCCCTGCAACCTTTCTGTGGGGCCCTGTTTTGGATGCCAGGTAAGTGCAGGGCCTGTGCGGAGGCTCTGGGAGGGCGAAAAACAGGCCTCCCGGAAGTTCCGGAAACCATTTTTTCCTCCCGGAGGCTCAAGAAAGGCCTTTGGAGCTTGGGGAGGGTAACCCCCCCCCCTCCATGGTGCAGGAGGCTGAGTAGGCCACGCCTACCATGGCCATGCCCACCCAGCAACTGGGCAGAGAACCGGTTGCAAAATTTTTTGAATCCCATCTCTAGTTTCCATGTTTGTCTTAATAGTAATAGCTATAGTAATAGCTTTTAGATTTATATACTGCTTTACAGCACACTCTGAATGGTTTACAAATGTCAGCATCTTATCCCCAACAATCTGGGTCCTCATTTAACTGATTTTGGAGGGATGGAAGGCTGAGTCAACTTTGAGCCGGTTAGGATCGAACTCCTGGCTGTGAGCAGAGTCAGCCTGCAAGACGGCACTCTAACCACTGTGCCACCACAGCTCCTTTACAGTGCTTATGGTGTCACTGCTCTCATAAAGGAGAATATTTGTAGCTCAGGGTTGAAATATGGGGGGGGGGGGGTCCTTGTTGGTCTCTGAGCCTGGTTGTTTTCTTGCAGGCATTTCATTATCCAAACCAGGTAACATTATCACTGGGGTGAAATGTTCCCGGTTCGGACCGGATTACCCAATCCGGTAGCGATGGCGGCGGGTGGTTCAGAGAACCGGTAACAAACATCCCTGCGCGCCCCCCCCCATGCCTAGCTGAGCCGCACGATTATCAGAGGCTTTTTTTTTAATTTTTAAAAGCATTTTTCTACAACCTCTCTGGCTGAAAAAATGCTTTTAAAAGTAAAAAAAAAAAGCCTCTGATAATCGCTCAGCTCAGCTGGGATCGTCAGAGGCTTTTAAAAGCATTTTTTCTACAACCTCTTCAGCCGAAGAAGTTGTAGAAAAAATGTTTTTAAAAGAGAAAAAAGCCTCTGCTGATCAGGCAACTGACCTGGGATCGTCAGAGGCTTTTTTTCTTTTAAAAGCCTCTGACGATCCCATCTGAGTTGCCTGATGGGCAGAGGCTTTTAAAAGCATTTTTTTACAACCTCTTCGGCCGAAGAGGTTGTGGAAAAAATGATTTTAAAAGTTAAAAAAAAAAAAATGGCCACGCCCACCTAGTTACATTACCCCCCCCTCACCAAGCCACGCCCACAGAACTGGTAGTAACAAATTTTACATTTCACCACTGATTATCACTACTAACGGTTTGGCACTGATGATGTTGCCTAGTTTGGCTAATGAAATGTCTGCAAGAAAACAACCAAGCCTAGGGACCACCAAGAACCCCTTGTTTCTGCTCTGCCTGGGAGGATGTTTGGTCCATGGGGGTCCAACTGCGATAATCTAGGAGTCAGGGATTCAGGAGGGCAGAGGAGGAGGCATCTCCGCATCTTCTGACCGCTAGATGTTCACTTACGCCAACAGGAAAGTGGTCAGTAAGAGTGAGAGTTCAGAACCTTTGCAAGGAGAAACATTTTCCATTCTCCTCCCTCTAGAAGTTAGGCTATGCCTTGGTGCGATGCCATGATTCCTGGGATGGGGTGCCAAAGAAGCCGCTCTTCATAATGTTTCAAAGCATTTCAACCCCTGGGACAATCCAAGAGGATCATCAGTCGGCTTATCCTCCTGTCAGGGTGTCTATTTGGTTCGCTAAGTGGACCATTGCTTCAAGCAAGCAAGCTTAACGTAGTATGAATTGTGAGATTCCCTCGGCCTGTCAGGCACTTCTATTACAGATTTATTCCTTCCAAAGCTGACAAAAACAATCTCGGTCACAGAGGGTCCAGATTAGGGGTGCTACTTGTGTGATAAGGACGTATTCTGTAGGCTGCTGGCTTCTTATTGACAGGCTGAAATCAGTATGTGTGAATCTGAAACTCCCTTCGGCAGGTTACCAGTAGGGTGGTCCAGTGGTGAAATCTGAAGTGATTTACTACTGATTCGCTGGATGCGTATGCGCAGTGCACACCAAAAGGAGGCATGCGGTAAGTAGAACAGCGTGCGAGGGGTGTGTGTGATCAGCTATGGCGCGCAAACCTCTGATGATTGCGCTGCTCAGCTGTAATCGTCAGAGGCTTTTTTTAACCTTTTAAAAGCATTTGTTTTACAACCTCTTCGGCTGACAGCTTTTAAAAGGCTCTGACGATCCCAGTTGAGTTGCCTGATCGTCAGAGGCTTTTTTTTCCTTTTAAATGCTTTTAAAACTAATAAAAAAAAAAGCCTCTGATGATCGCGCGGCTCAGTTGGGCATGGGCGGGGGGAGGGAGGCACAGGGATTTTTGCTACCGGTTCTCCGAAACAACCCGCCGCCTTCGCTACTGCATCGGGTGATCCGGTCCGAACCGGGAGCATTTTATCTCTGGGGTGGTCCCAAGGAAATGCCAAGCGAGTGAGACCAAATTACTGCATTTCTGAGGAGTTTTAGAGATCTCAAAGAACAAAATGGACATTTGGAGCCTTAAAAGATGCCGAAGGCCTAAGAATCCGTCTCCAACTGCTTCTTGGTCTTGCTCCATACCCTGGAGAATGCACTTGACATGCACTTCACCTCCAAAGGATACCCTGCTTTGTATATTTGCATCAGCACAAACCATCTTCAAACTTACATTTCTGTAACTGCAGACCTGTGGTAAAAGAACATCTACGTTTGGATCTACGAGTGAATGCGACAGACGAAAGGAGCCCGGGTGGCACAGAGGTTAGAATGCAGTATTGCGGCAAACTCTGCTCACTGCCAGGAGTTCAGTCCTGATGGACTCAAGGTTGACTCAGCCTTCCATCTTTTCGAGGTCAGTAAAATGAGGATCCAGATTATTGGGGGCAATATGTTGACATTGTAAACTGCCCAGAAAGTGCTGAAGGCACAATGGAGCGGTATATAAGTCTAAGTGCTATCGCTAAAAGCAGGATGGCAAGGTTCCATAACTGAGGTGGGATCGGAACCCACATCTCCCCTTTCAAAGCTTAGCATTGGCAAGCCACGGTTGAAAGGAAATGTGTGGATCTCAAAACACGACTCTACTTACGAAGACTGTTGGTTTGGGTGCAAATGTATTTCCATCCTCGTGTGGGAAATGGACCTGAACCGATGGATTTGAGATAGATTTTTCCGGTGAAGTTTTTCTCTGTTTCTGAGGCAAACTGTCCCCTTGGGGTTGACCACGAAGAGTAAGCAGCATCTGTTTCATAGCGGCTAGTTCCTAAAGAAAGCAAAGTACAGGATCAAATTGTTGGATGTGAAATAGAAATATCGTCCTGATATCACATTTGGACATGCAACCACAAACAACAGAATAACAGAGTTTCAATGGACCTTGGAGATTTTCTAGTCCAATCCCCTGCTCAGGCAGGAAATCCTATATCATTTCAGACAAATTGTTGTTTTAAACCTTTAATTTTAGAGTACAACATGTGTACTATGAGATTGTCCAATCTCTTCTTAAAAACTTCCAGTGTTGGAGCATTTACAACTTCTGGAGGCCAGTTGTTCCACTGATTAATTGTTCTAACTGTCAGGAATTTTCTCCTTAGTTCTAAGTTGCTTCTCTCCTTCTTTCCACCCATTGCTTCTTGTTCTGATCTCAGGTGCTTTGGAGAATAGGTTGACTCCCTCTTCTTTGTGGCAGCCCCTGAGATATTGAAAGACTGCTATCATGTCTCCCCTAGTCCTTCTTTTCATTAAACTAGACATACCCAGTTCCTGCAACCGTTCTTCATATGTTTTAGCCTCCAGTCCCCTAATCATCTTTGTTGCTCTTCTCTGCACTCTTTCTGGGGTCTCAACATCTTTTTTACATCGTGGCGACCAAAACTGGATGCAGTATTCCAAGTGTGGCCTTACCAAGGCATTATAAAGTGGTGTTAACACTTCACATGATCTTGATTGTATCCCTCTGTTTATGCAGCCTATAACTGTGTTGGCTTTTTTTGATAGCTGCTGCACACTGCTGGCTCATATTTAAATAGTTGTCCACTAGGACTCCAAGATCCCTCTCACAATTACTACTATTGAGCAAGGTACCACATATACTGTACCTGTGCATTTTGTTTTTCTTGCCTAAAAGTATGTTAAATGTATGCTGCAATGGTGATGAAAAATGGTCATAAGTCACTTTTTTCAGTGCCGTTGTATCTTTGAATGGTCACTAAATGAACTGTTGTAAGTCGAGGATTACCTGTATTTCTAAACCAATCAACTTTCACTTTGAAGTCCTTTGTTGCACTAACTACGAAAGTAAATGAAATCCATTTTCCCAAGGTCCCCTTTTTTCATAGGGAGACCCTATGACACTTTATGGTCCCTTTATGGTCTCTTTACGACTATCTATATAACCTATGACTATCATTAAGTGTTGTATCTTATGATTCTTGATGAACGCATCTTTTATTTTATGTACACTGAGAGCATATGCACCAAGACAAATTCCTTGTGTGTCCAATCACACAAGGCCAATAAAAATTCTATTTTATTCTATTCTATTTGGTTGAAGCTACCCCATCATGAAAGGAAAAAGGAAATGGTGAGGAAGATTTTCACGAATGAGGGCAAATGTATGTGTCCCAGGATAAGGATGCAAGATCGAATTTGGGTCGGTCACCGTGACCAGTGATTTATTCTTCCGAGTTTTCGGATTCGTGCTGGAGCCCAACTTCAAGGAATTTCTTTCTACTGAAATACGTCCTTTGGGCTGTTCTGTGAATTGTGTTTATGTGGTATCTTCCTGTTGGTTGATTGGTGTGTTGATGGCTGGCGATTAGGAGATTTTTCAAGGAAGATTTTCATCCTTGAAAAAGCAAAATAATTTGTATCTTGGGTCTCCAATATCAGGTCTGGGGGAAAAAAAAGTTCTTTCTTCCCAGAACTTCCCCCAAATAAGTTAATCAAACCCTTTCAGATGCAAGAACTCTAGTGGGGGGGGGGGATTATCGGCAATTCCCCCCCCCTCTTTTTTTTCTTGATATAGGTCCACTTCACATCAGCCTGGGAGGCCAGGAGGTATTTTCAGCACTGTTGCCTAAACTAAGTTTAAAAGTCTGAAGACTGCAAGCCAAGATCTTTCTCTGTTGTGGCAAAATATAAACAAGAACATATTTTCTTTTTAACTTCAATATGACTATCACATGATTTGCATCACGCTACAGTTTTAATGATGAACAAGTCCCAGAAGGAGGAAACAACAATTCTTTGTCTATTTCTGCTTCGAAGAAGTTCCAGGCTGGAAGACGATCCTGAATTCTCTTGCTTTCCTATAGCGGTGTGAAATTAATATTTCTGCAGGAATCTCCTGGGCTACCTTCCCAATCCTGCAGCGCTCCAGAGCCGCGTGCGTTCCTTCTCATTGCTCCCCCCCGCTCCGTTTAATGTTGCAGCTATATTTGCATAATCCAACCACGGGCACCGACATGTCAAAGCAGTTCGGCTGCAGAGCAGCTGTTTCCACCGAGGGCTGCAGAACTGATACCGACATGTTGCTGGAAGTTGTAAACTCGGCAAAGAGGTTGCCAAAGCAATGCATAGACGGGATTTTCTGGATGGAAATAACTTGGGAGCTTTTTACGCCAAGCACATGCTTCGTCCTTAACAGACCGTCATCGCGATCCAAGCGTACCTACTATTTGTAAGCCAGGGAAATCGGAGACCCTTGCAAATACCTTTCGGGCTGGAATGCAAGCAATGGTTCCCTGCTAGCCAAATATGTCATGAAAATAATTTTTGCTGAATCCTCTATTGATCAAAGACGTGGTGACACTGTCCGCCCCCCCACTCCTGCCCCCCTCCCCCCACAGCTCTCCAAAACAACATCAAGCAATTCATGCAGATAAAAGAGTTGTGTTACAGAGATGTTATTTGGCCCTCCTATCTCTCCTGGAGGGAGGCCAGCCCCCAAGGCAGAGACGAAAAAAAATGGCCTATCGGAAAATCAGGGCAAACTTCCCAGCTTCTTTGCAAACCAGTAGAGTCTTGCGTGATGAGAGGTCTCTTTTAAGTTCTTTTTATTAAAATATGGAAGACTGTCATCCAGTCTTGCACCAAATTTTTTCAGAATGTAGTGCCTATGTCTAAGTGTTCCAGTGGTGTAGGTTGTTAGTTGCGAAGTCATGTCCGACCCATGGACAATGTTCCTCCAGGCCTTCCTGTCCTCTACCATCCTCTGGAGTCCATTTAAGCTCATGCCTTCTGCTTCAGTGACTCCATCCAGCCACCTCGTTCTCTGTCATTCCCTTCTTCTTTTGCCCTCAATCGTTCCCAGTATTAGGCTCTTCTCCAGTGAGTCCTTCCTTCTAATTAGGTGGCCAAAGTATTTGAGTTTCATCTTAGAAGGATCTGGCCTTCTAAAGAGCAGTCAGGGTTGATCTCCTCTAAGACTGACCGATTGGATCGCCTTGCAGTCCAAGGGACTCGCGGGAGTCTTCTCCAGCACCATAGTTCAAAGGCCTCCATTCTTTGGTGCTCAGCCTTTCTTATGGTCCAACTTTCACAGCCATCCATTGCAACTGGGAAAACCATCGCCTTGACTATACACACTTTTATTGGAAGGGTGATGCCTCTGCTTTTTAATATGCTCTCTAGATCTGCCATAGCTTTCCTTCCCATGAGCGTCTTTTAATTTCTTGTCTGCAGTTTCTATCTGCGGTGATCTTGGAGCCCAGGAAAATAAAATCTGTCACTACCTTCATTTCTTCCCCATCTATTTCCCAGAAATTGAAAGGGCCGGATGCCATGATCTTTGTTTTCTTAATGTTGAGTTTCAAGCCAACTTTTGCACTCCCCTTCTTCACCCGCATCAAGAGGCTCTTCAGTTCCTCTTCGCTTTCTGCCATTAGAGTGGTATCATCTGCATATCCAGCAGTGCAGGATTTCCTGCCTAAGCAGGGGGTTGGACTAGAAGACCTCCAAGGTCCCTTCCAACTCTGTTATTCTATTCTATTCTATTCCAGCCTATGTCTAAGTGTTAATTTTGATTCTGATAACAGTTGGGTGATTGTAGGTGAATCATTTGAACTGGGTGTTTGTCCTTAGTACCTTGTTACTCACAGTGAAGGTGATGGATTGGGACATAGAATGAATGAAGAAAGAAAACAAGCCCACTGGTGACATACACACATCACACATACAAAGTACAGTGAAGGATCTTCAGATGAAAAAGTGATCTCCTGTCAGAAATAATACTGTGTAAAGCAAAGCACCATCTCCGCTATAAAGACCCAAGCAACCAACTCTGAGGTTAATCAACATCTGTATGGGTTAAGAAACCCTATTCAAATCCTAAAAGCAAGCAAGCAAGCAAGCTTCTCAATTAAGATTAATTTAGCTAGTTCAAACAGTGTTTTTTAAAATTCTCCCGTTAACTAACAACTTCTCCTTTCATTCACAAGGAGAATGAAGTAACTGAATACCTTTTTTCTGCACTTTAAATGCAAAATACTAAATTTAAATACTAAAATAAATACTGTCATTTGATAGCAAATCTATGTCTCCTTTAATTTTGCATAGATATTTACTTGATGATCGTAACCTTTCTGGACAAAATCTGCATGAATGATCGTATTAAGTTCTAAGATTCTACAGATCCTAACAGGCTTCACTGAAGCCTCACCTGGTATAAGTCTTGTGAGGAGGAAATCATTATTGCTCAGGTTTTAACTATATATTATTGATAAGATGCTGCAATGAGTTTAACTGAGACCTTTAGTTGAAAAAAAAAAAGGATTTGTCGCTTGATTATTTCTGAGGCTAGGCTTAGGAATCTATCCTTTTCATTTCATGAAGAAAAAGAGAGAGGACACAAAAGATGAAGAAGAAAGATTTGATCCACAACCATAAAGTACTTTTGATTGAATGGAATAAACATGGCGGCCTAAGAAAGTGCAAAAATCCAGATGCAGCCATGGAACAAAACTTCTCTTATTTGAAAAGTAGCTCAGATATCTATGGTTGACAAGTTCACATGGGAGAAAACTGCCTTTCAGTCATTACTATAAATTACAAACAATTCATGGGTTTAAAGATCCAAGCCAGCACTTTGACATGGGCGCAGAAAGACACTAGAAGCTCAGGAAACAATTGCAATAATTGAATCATCAAGTGGTGACATGCTCCCAATGACCTGCCAGAAGTCTTTTTTTCCCCTCCTAGAGGCTTTTCCACAGCAATCCAGGAAAATGGTAGAGCAAGAGTCATCCAACTATGATGTGTGTG